CCCCCCATTCCCAGGCTGGGCATTCTCTTCGCTCCACTCCTGCCGGCCGTGCAGATGCTGAAGCTGCTGCTGCTGTTCTATATCAAAAAGGTGTGATTCCCTCTGCCCCCTGCAGTTCCCCACTGGTGACACAGCGGTGACACTGTGCCCTGCCACTGCCAGCCTGTGATGCAGCAGCGGTGCTGCACGGAGCAGCCCCGTCCCAGTGGGACTGAGCAGAGGTTGCTGGGGAGAGGGTGTCCCCAGGCTCACTTGGCTTCCAGCGGGTAGGAGGGAGGGGACAGCAGGGTGGGGGCCACACTTCAGGAGCTGGCAGCCCCCAGGACGCTGCTCCCTGTTCACAGACCAGCCTGATGCGGAACTGCCAGTCCCCCAGCAAGCCCTGGCAAGCGTCGCATATGAGCACCATTTTCATCACCCTGCTGTGCTTCCCCTTCTTCCTGGGTGCAACCATCTTCCTCTCCTACACCATCTGGTCGTGAGTACCCACCAGGCCATGGCTTGGGGCACAGGACCCCTGGCAGCCTGGAGATAGAGGGGCTTGGAGACACCGTGCCCCCCAACCCCAACATCCCCCAGCCCCAGGCTGTGCAGTGCTGTCCCAGGCAGGGAGGTGCTGCCCAGCCACTGGCTCGTGCCCACTTCCTCCAGCTGTTCACGGGTGTTCCTGGTGCAGGACACAAGGATGAAGATCCCTGGGGATGCTGGGGACAGTGAGGCTGGGTCCCAGGAGGGCTGGATGTCTGAGACAGGCAGTGCCCTGGGCTGGGGGCAGCGGCTGCTGGGTTGCCCATTGCTCTGACCACCCTGTCTGTCTGTCTGTCTGTCTGCTCAGGGTGCAGCCATCAGAAACGTGCGGACCCTTCCGGGGGCTGGAAACCATCTACAAATCAGGGAAGAGCTGGGTGCTGGTGCTGCAGAAGTCCAACCCCAACATCACTTGGTTCGCCTGGGTCCACCAGCACCTGGTGGAGAACACCTTCCTCCTGTTCTTCACATCTGGGGCCCTCCTGTGAGTATGGACCAAAGCCCAAGGCTGAACCCTGGGCCTTGTTTTGAGGGTCCCACTGTCATGGCCCTAAGCAGGGCTGGGAGCCAGGGTGACAATCCAGAGCCCTGTGCCCCATCCTGGTGCCAGGAGCACAGTGTTCCTCAGCTTCCTGCCCAGCTGCCACCATCCCATGCTGTTGTTGCAGAGCTGTGATCTACTTCTACATCCAAGTGGTGAGAGGCCAGCAGAGGGTCATCTGCCTGCTCAGGGAGCAGATCGCCAAGGTGCGAGTGCTGCACTGTCCCTGCCCGTCCCGGCTGCTCCACGGCCTGGTCCAGCCCCAGGGCTGCCAGTTCAGGCTCTGGCCCAGCCCCAGGGCTGCCAGTTCAGGCTCTGGCCCCAGCAGCACTGCCACTCAGCTGTCCCACGGCTCTGTTGTTGCAGGAAGGGGAAGATAAGATATTTCTCATGCAGAAGCTTCACTCCGTTTATGAGCAGCGAGAGAGACGTGCCTGAGGCCCAGGTAAGGCTGGCACGAAGGGCTGGATCTGTCCATCACAATACTGTGCTGGAAGCTGCAGGACCACAGGATGCTGGGGAAGATCCTCCCTCCTTGCTGTACCAAGGACCCATTGAGGCATGTCAATAGGAATGCCATGGCACAGGGATTCAGGTGCTCCTGCTGCCTGGAGCTGCTGGGATGCAGCACGTGCAGAACTAGGACTGCTGTCACAGCCCAGGCACAGCTCCATGCGGGGCTGCCTCACCAGCACAGCCCTGCTCTGTGGGTGGTCACTGCTTGCAGAGAACAGCTCTCCAGCTCTCCTCCCTACCAGCACATTGGCCCCGTGGAGAATGGCCCTGGAGAATCCTTTGGAGACAGCAGAACTTTCTGGATGGAGAAACCTGCAGCCCATTTCACGTTGCCCAGGGGCAGCAAGGATGGAGCTGGGAGCTGCCAGGCACTGACCCAGCTCCAGCCCTGTGCCTGGCTTGCCAGGAGAGCAGCTCTCTGATCCCAGTCCCATGAAAAAGGGCTCAGGGCCACCCCAGCAGCCCTACACACACTGCACCAGCTGGCAGGACGGACTGGGAAGAACCACCGTGGTGCTGGGCTGGGCAGGGACCCCGTGGGCTCAGGGTGACCTGGCCCATTAAAGTGCCACTGCACAGGAGGGCTCTGGCTGGTGTCTGGACCTGTTGGGCTGGAAGCAGGCAGGTGGGGTTGGTGTGTCAGTGCTGGCTGTGGTGGTGACTCAGCAGCTGTGGCAGGGTGTGCTCAGGCTCCTCGGCACTGCCTGCTCGCCCATCCAGCTGCCCAGGGCAGAGCTCAGCTCAGCCCACAACGCTGGAGCGAGGACCACTGCTGCCCCACGAGCCATGAGCCACCGCGGGCAGTGTCTGCAGCCCCCGGCACCGAGAGTTGCTCCCCTCCATGGCACTGCTGGCAGCCCCAGGCCCTGGGACAGCAGCTGCCCCGGTGCCACAGCACTGACAGGCCCAGGGCGGGATGTGCCACCGTGTGTGCCAGGCACAGGCAGCCACCAGCACCCCGTGACTTGGCACTGGCACCACCGGGTGAGGCAGCTGGGCCAGGCCGGGCCGTCAGCGCGGGCACAGGGCGGGTTATTGTCATGGACAGACACTGGTCATAGCTGTGGGCACGGGGTGGGTCCTGCACACAGCCCCAGCCCTTCTGGGGATGCATTAAGAAGAGTATTGCCAGCAGGTCACGGAGGTGATCCTGCCCCTCTACCGAGCCCTGGTGACGCCACATCTGGAGTGCTGTGCCCAGTTCTGGGCTCCTTAGGACAAGAGGGACATGGAGCTCCTGGAGCAGATCCCACAGAGGCTACAGAAATGATTAAGGGATTCGAGCATCTCTTATGAGGACAGGTTGAGGGAGCTGGGCCTGTTCAGCCTCAAGAAGAGGTGTCTGAGAGGGGACCTCATCCGTGTCTGTCAGTATCTGCAGGGAGGTGTCAGAGGATGGACCAGATTCTGCTCAAGGGTGCCAAGCAATAAGACAAGAGGCAACAGGCAGAAATGGATGCACAGGAAATTCCACCTGAATATAATCCTGATGGGCCCCTTCCAACTCAGCATGTTCTATGATATTCTGTGAGAAAGAACTTCTTTCCTCTGCAGTGACCACACACCAGAACAGGCCACCCAGAGAGGTGGTGGAGTCTCCCTCACTGGAGATACTCCAGAACCATCTGGATGCAATCCTGTGCCATGTGCTCTGGGATGACAATGCTTGAGCATGGGGGTTGGACCAGACAACCCTCTGTGGTCTCTTCCAGCTTGACCCATTCTGAGATTCTCTGAGCCCAAGTGAGTGCTGGGGAGCAGCCACAGGCTGGAACTTGCTACAACTTGTGAGACATCCCTGACTGAGGCATCCCTGTCAGTGGGCCTACCCCAGCTCCTGACACCCACCCAGGTTCCCCAGTCCTTCCACACCTTTCCCCAGGTCCCCCCACTGTGGCTGGACTGGCGTGATGCCTGTAGGGCCAGAGCTGGAGCCCCATAGGCACTCAGTCTCCAACCTGGGCAGCCTTACCAGCCCCTGCCCTGCTTAGCCCAGCTCAGATGCTGCCCTAGCCCCCAGCCCCACTGCAGCAACCCCTCCTGTGCCCAGAGGTGCCAGCACGGCCTGGCCCCTGAGCCTTCTGCTCATCCCTTCCCCAAAAGTCTGGGGTTTCCTCCCAAGCACAGGGCAGCCACCAGCCACCAGTTTGGTCAGAGTTTTACTGTGAAGTCCCACGGGGATACAGTCTGTCACCAGCCTGTGACACTGCTCCAGGCCCTGCTCCCAGCCCCATGCAAGGCAGCTGCTCCCTGGCCACCTCCTTTGGTGACAGGACTGTCCTGGGCTGCTGCAGGCCCCTGGCAGGGTCGGGGTCAATGGGGGTCTCCAAGGGTGGCCCGAAGCCACTGCAGGACATCGGCCAGACCGGTCCCGTCGCGGGCGCTGGTCTCCAGCATCGTGATGGGCTGCGTGGCACAGGACACGACGTCCTGCATGCGGAACAGCGACTTCATCTCCAGCAGCGACATGTAGCAGGGCAGGTCACTGCAGTGGGGAGAGGGGGGGGCTGCATGAGCCCACCACAACAGCTCCCCTGCCCAGCCCAGCACCAGCCTGGGGGTCTCCAGCCCGGGCAGTGCAGCAAAGTGCAGGTGCTGCCCCATCCTGCGAGCTGATCCCCCTCCTCACATCTTGTTGAAGAGCACCAGGACGGGCACGGAGGCGAGCGGCGCTGCCGAAAGGACGGAGAGCAGCTGGATGCAGGACGAGGAGACCTGGGTGGGGTTGGAGGCATCGACCACGAACTGCAGGGGGAGAAGGGAAAGCGGGGTGCGGGTGTGCCGAGGGCACAAAGCAGGGCACGGAGGGGGGAGGTCTCGGGGGGTGCCGGTGCCGCTCACCACAAGAGCGCTGCACTCGCTGTAGTAGCTGGGCCAGATGGGGCCCATGCAGCCGCCCAGCTCCCGCACCGTCACCTTCCGCGGCAGCCGCAGGTCGGTCAGGTTGGTGCCCACCTGCGGGACAGGCGCGGGGCTGGGTGCGGCCGTGCCCGCCGCCCCCCGCCGCCCCTCGGCCCCGCCGGGCCCTGCCTACCGTGGGCAGCGTGGCCGGGGGCTCGCCCAGCCCCGCCGGCTCCTCGGCGCTCAGCTGTGCCGCGCGTTAAGGACTCGCGTCCGGGAGGGGAAGGGGCTGCCCGGACCCCCCCTCGCCCCCGCCGGTCCCCCCCGGTGCCCCCCGGTCCCCCCGGTGCCCCGTGCCCGGTGGATATGGCGCAGCCGCCGCACCAAGAGGCTCTTGCCGCCGCCCGCCGCCCCCAGCAGCAGCACCGTGGGCGGGGGCCGACCCGCGGCCATCGCGGCCCCGCCCCGGCGGAACCGGGCCCGCCCCGGCGGAAGCCGGAAGCGGAAGTGCCGCGGAGGGGCGGGGACGGACCGGGCCGGAGCGGTCGGGCCGGGCCGGCGGCGGGAGGACACGATGGGGCGCGGCAGCGGCACCTTCGAGCGGCTCCTCGGTACCGGCGCGGCCCCTCGGGCGGGCGGGGCGGGGTCCGGGCCGGGGTCCGCAGCGATCGGGCCCGGGGCAGGGCTCTCCCGGGCCGGGGCTCGGTGCCGCAGCCCGATGCTGGCCGGGAGGAGCGGGAGCGGTGGGGCCGAGGTTACCGAGGGCCCCGGGATGTCTCAAAGGGGAGAGAGGGCCGGTGCCTGCCGGGAGACGTCGGAGGTTTTTATTCCCGAGCCTGGGGACAGCGCCGCGCCCGGGGCGCTCCCGCGACACGTCGGTGGCGGAGCCGCGGGGAGCGGCCGCTCACGGCATCCCGGCGGGTTTGTTCCTTGCAGATAAGGCCACGAGCCAGCTCCTGCTGGAGACGGACTGGGAATCCATCCTGCAGATCTGCGACATGATCCGGCAGGGAGACACCCAGTGAGTGCTCCTGGGCTTGCGGACGCGCTGTGGGCACAGCTCTCCTGTCAGACCCTTCGGGGGTCTTGGACCTGCCAGCCCGTGGGAGCACACGTGTCTGTCCCCTTCCACAGGAGCTTTGGAAGGGCAGTACAGCACACCTCAATGTGCTGACATTCTTCCCAGACCTCAGGGGCTACAGGTTACCCCTGGCCTGAAATCCTCAGGGAAACTCAAGCTTGAATGTGCTTATTCCTTCCCAGTTTCCTCCAGGGAATTGTGTACCCCTGAGCTAAGTGTGCCCTCGTGTCAGAGGGGGGGTTTGCGGGTTGGCAGCAGCAGGTGGGATCTCCCCTAGGATCCTTGATCCCCTGAGGATCTGTCCTCTCTTCCGTACCCAGAGCGAAATACGCCGTCAACGCCATCAAGAAGAAGGTGAATGACAAGAATCCCCACGTGGCCCTGTATGCGCTGGAGGTAACAGCACCGGACCGGGAGCACCATGGGGACCTGGGGAATGTCCCCTCTCACCATCCTGCCTTCAGGCTGCCTGCGGCACGGCGTGGAGCCAGCCTCCTCCTGGCTCTGGCACAGAGGGTTTGGGATGATCAGGCCGGGGCCTTGATGCTTTAGGTCTGTCTTGGCTTTGGAACAGGCAAAGCTGGGACTTAGGCTGCTGTCCCTGGGGTCAGTCTCCAGAGAACAAAGGCACCCAGGCCCCTGTGGAGCTGAAGGGCAGCTGGTTCCCAGCGTGGGGTATGGATTGCCACGGCCCCAGTGTGCCTCATTGCTTAAATAGTGCCCTGTGTTCAGCCTGTACAGTGTGCTGGCAACACCATGGATTGCAGAGGAGGCAGGAAACCGTGGGCTGATGTTGTTCTTGACCCTTGCAGGTCATGGAGTCAGTGGTTAAAAACTGTGGCCAAACAGTTCATGACGAGGTGGCCAATAAACAGACCATGGAGGAGCTGAAGGAAATACTCAAGGTAAATCGATTTATTTTTCTATCTTTTTTTTTCTGGAAAAGCACCAGCAGCAGGAGGAGATGTGTGTGTCCTCTCCTGCATTCCTTTTGGGTAAGGAACAGAAGGGAAACTGGGAAACTCCAGAAAAGAGCAAACTATCATGTGGTGTGAAGGGGTGAGTGTAGGGAGCAAAGGAGGATCTCTGGGAAGAGGAGATGTGGTGGAAGCAGAGGTTTGGCTGTGCTGTGAACGGGCAGGAATGTGCTGTAGAGGCCTGGGCCATTCCATGCTAAATGCTCCTGGATGCAACACTTGGCTTGGGACAGCTGAGGAAACCAGGTGATGGCCTGGCACCTGCACTGAGGACCTGGGCAGTGGTGAGGTGAATTCCCCCCCATAGAACAGTGTGAGACACACAGGCAGGTAAAGCAGTAAAGGAGAAACCAACAGGAGCTTCCTCTGTGTTGTGGCCATTTCACCGGCCTGTGGAATAGTTCAGGAGTTCTGCAGGATGTGACCCTGGCTGCTGGCACTGACAAGATGTTGTCACAGGCCACCACCAGTCTGATGCCTGCAGGAGCTCTGTGTGTCCTTGGACTGGAGAATTCCATGAGTGAAGTGGAAATGAGAACTCCTGTCTCCCGCTCCCAGCTCAGAACAGCAATGCCCAGACAAGAGCTCGTTAGCATCGTGCCGTTCCTTCCTTACAGCTCCTGTCTTCCACCAGAAATAAACAGCCAGATGACCCAGATCCTTGCAGGATGAGCTGTGTGAGCCCTGTCACCTCGCACACTGAGCAGGGTGTCTCTCCTGTCACCTTCCTGTTAGGGCTGACTCAGTCTCTGTGCAGGATCTCCTCCCAGGAGGGAACACTGCTTCAGTGGGACAGCCAGGTGTGGTAGCACAGCCTCTCCAAGGGCTGAGGAGATCAGATCAGATCCAGGGATTTTGTGGTTCTCTCAGTCCTTGCCTGCCTCAGGAGTTTCACAACTGCCCCATTTTCCTCCCACACTTGGAACTTTGGTGCTTGTAAATGCCCAGTGCTGGTAAAACAATTCAAGTTCTGATGAAGTTCGGGGCTGTGACATGTGTGGAATGCAGGATCTTGCCAACTCTTCCAGTAGTTGGACCCCCAGGAATTGTCAGTGAGTCACACTGTGTGGACTGAGCTCTTGGCTGAAATTGGAGCTTGACAGTGCTCCTGTGCTTCCTGGGGGATTTCTGGAGCAGCTGGTCATGTGGATGCGATGACTTGGGCAGCTGAGGACAGGGCATCTCTGAAGCTGGCTGAGCTCAGAACGGGCTTGCCAAGTTTCCTCCAGCTCCTGAAAGTGTGATACAATTGCCCCTGCCTCCAAAGGGCAGGCGACCCAGCTGTCCTCACTGTGTCACATTCTAAGATGGCTTTGAGTGTTCCTGGGCTGGAGGTGCTGACACCTCAGGCACCCCCAGCACCGTCAGTGCCCGGGCGAGGCAGGGGCAGGCTGTGCTGTTCTGGGCATCTGAAGGTCCCGAGTGTGGGATGAGCAGCTCTCTTGAGGGGAGCTGCTGGGTGGGCTGGGCTGCTGTGGGTCCCAGAGCCCCTGGGCCTGGCCCTGGGCGTTTGCTCAAAGTATCAAGGCCACAGACCTGTTCAGTTGGTCTGTGCTGCTCTGTTGTTCCTGCTGAAGGGGGGCAGTGGGGCAGCTGAAGGGGTCTGTAATTTGTGTTGTGCATCGTCCTCACTGTGGGTTTCTGACAGCTCTTGATTCTCTAAAGTCTCTCTTTCCTGACTGGTATTTCTGGCTTCTCTTTGGGGGGTTCACACCATCCTTTGGGTTTCAGGTGCTTTTTCTCAGATGTTGTTTTCTCCTCCCTTCCTGTGCAGAGGCAAGTGGAGACCAGTGTCCGCAGTAAGATCCTGTACCTCATCCAGGCCTGGGCTCACGCCTTCCGCAACGAGCCCAAGTACAAGGTGGTGCAGGACACCTATCAGATAATGAAGGTTGAAGGTGAGGACCGTGGGCACAGGTTGGGGGACACCTGGCCAAGCAGCTCTGCTCTGCAGGAGCCTTGGCAGGACCTGCCTGACGTGAGCAAAATCTGGACTTGCAGCACTGAGCTTTTCCTTGGTGCCTGATACCCAACAAACCCCTTGCAGTGACTGAATCCCACTGCAGAGATGGGACAGTCCCAGGATTGGGGCCGCCTTGCTCTGGGCCTCCAGCCCAACCAGAAGTTCAGGGCTGGTGAGAAGACCTGAGCAGCAGGAGGTGCAAATGTTCCTGGGGAGACTGACAGCAAGTCAGTGTGTCCTCTGGGGTGGGATTTGCTTTGAGGCAGTTCCTTCCTCCCAGGCTTTCATTCCTGCATGGGTCCATGCTCCCCCTTTTTTTGACAGAGTATTGGTGTGACGCTTTTCCTCCTATCCCAGGACAGTAGTGTCCCCTTCAAGGGCAGGGACATGCTGCTGCCTCTGCCTCCTGTGCACCAGAACCTCTGTGGGCAGTGGCAGGGCCCGGAGGGCCAGTCCCCCCAAGCTGGTGTTGACACACTCTGGCCATTCAAGGCCAGAGTCACACAGCCCTACCTGCCCACCCAGTGGGCTTTTTATCCCCCCATGCTCAGTTCAAGGTCTTGAGAAATAAGAAGCCTTATCCAGAGGTTCCTTATGTCCCTTTTAAGTGCGTAAGGGAAACCATCAGGGATTGTCTTGAGAGTGGGGCTGAGGGGAGGCTGATGCTGGTGTGTCAGAGCAAGATACCAGTCAGGGCAGGAGGTTTGTCCTGGCACCTACAGCATGAGACTGCAGGCACCAAGGCCTCCCTGTGCCAGAGGATTCCTTTCACAATGGGACTCTGCTTCTCCTGCAGGTCACGTCTTCCCGGAGTTCAAGGAGAGCGATGCCATGTTCGCTGCCGAGAGGGTGAGCTGTGTGGTGGGGGGAGCTGGCACTGCAGGACAGGCCTGCCCTCCCATCCCCTCCCTGCCAAACCTGCAGGTCTTGCATTCCTCCCTTTCGTGCAGACTGGAGACCTTGCTGGGAGAACTGACGGGGACAGGGAGTCAGTCCCATCACTCCCCTTTCTTGGTGGCCTTGCATCATCTTGGCAGGCTGAACGTGGCAAGGCATTGCTGAAGTGATCAGCAGACACGTTCCTAGAGAGTTTTATGCTAAGTGTGAAAGTGTCAGAGTCTCTAAGGAGCACAAGAGGGGATAACTTGGGGGGATTAATATTTCCTGTTGAGCTGCAAGTGCCTCCATTCTCCCCCATGCACGAGAGCCCTGTTAGCCATTGGAGCTCCTGAAAGGCCCAGTGCAGACACTGTCCTTGAGGCTCTACTCCCTCCTTACATGATTTCCCTTGACCCCGGCAGGCTCCGGACTGGGTGGACGCTGAGGAGTGTCACAGGTGCCGGGTGCAGTTTGGTGTTGTGACACGGAAGGTGGGTGCTGCTCCTGCCCCTTTGGGTTTCTTGGCCCTGCACAGCCCTTGGGACTGGCAGAGCTCCCTGCAGGACTCTCTGCGTGGAAATGTGCTGGGGACAGACCGTGTTCCCTGGCCACTGGCAGGGAAATGCTGGGAGTATCTGAGTGTGTTGTCTAATGGAGAAGGAGTGTCTTGCCACTACACTGATGTCTCCCATCCTTCACAGCATCACTGCCGGGCCTGCGGGCAGATCTTCTGTGGGAAATGCTCCTCCAAGTATTCCACTATCCCCAAGTTCGGGATTGAGAAGGAAGTGAGAGTCTGTGAGCCCTGCTATGAGCATCTCAACAAGTCAGTACCCTTCGTGGTGGGTTTCTTTGCTTGCGAGAGCTGGGACTGTGAGGGGCGAAGGATGTGGAGCCAATTCCCTGCAGAGCAGGGCCAGGGTGCTTCCCAGGCCGTGCAGGCTGGGCTGGGCCCGGCCCCCTTCCTTCCCAGGAGCAGGGTTTGTTGCTGAACCATTGTGCAGAGCTGGGGCTCTGGTGCAGAGGAGGGAGCGTTCAGTCCACACTGTCACCTCTCACTGCAGGAAGGCCGAGGGCAAAGCTGCTGCCACCTCCGAGCTGCCCCCCGAGTACCTGACCAGCCCTCTCTCTCAGCAGTCCCAGGTGAGTGGCTGCCCCGTAGGTGATCTGGTGATCCTGACCTGTTTGTTGATCCCATTACCGACCACCTCCTCATCTTTTCACTTCAAGCTGCCTCCAAAGCGCGACGAGACAGCTCTGCAAGAGGAAGAGGAGCTCCAGCTGGCTATTGCCTTGTCTCAGTCAGAGGCTGAGGAGAAGGAGAGAATGGTTTGTGCACTGCTGGGATCTGGGAGGGGTCATTGCTCTTCAGCCCAGGTGTACTGGGCCATAAGAGATCTCTGGGCATATCCTGGCGTGGGTGACGTGCAGGGCCTGTGGAATGAGAGGGTGAAAGCAGAGCCAGGCATGGGCCGTGTTGCAGTTGGTTTGGAGGAGTCTGGACAGTCCCTGAGTTGGCAATTTTCTCTTTTGCAGAGGCAGAAAACAACCTACTCCATGTACCCCAAGGCTGAGCCCACGCCTGTCACGTCATCGGCTCCCCCGGTCAGCACACTCTACTCCCCACCCGTGGTACGTCCATGGGAGCCCTGGGCCTGAAAGCCACTTCCTGAGCCCGAGTCTGCCCTGCTTGTGTCCAGTTTAATCCCGTTCTGAGGGAAAATAGTTGCCCCATTCAACCCCTTGCTCCTTCACTGTGTTTTGAGCAAGAAGGTCTGTTCCTAGGTGGCATTTAGGTGCCGCTGCTGCTTCCCGGGGCTGTAGCGTGTGTCCCCTTTGAGGCTCTTGCTGGTGCTCAGCACTGGTGGTTGTACATGGCCAGGTCTGATCCAGACATCTGTGTGGGACCTGAGGGGTCTCTGGTGGTTTCTCTGAACTGCTTTTCCCTGTTTGTCTCTTCCCAGAATTCCTCTGCTCCCTTGGCCGAGGACATTGACCCAGAGGTAAGGATCTCAGCCCTGTTAGTCTGTGGCAGAGGCTTGCTTCCACGAGGCAGCAACGCTCACCTTCCTTCTCTTCCTGGCAGCTGGCTCGGTACCTGAACCGCAACTACTGGGAGAAGAAACAAGAGGAGGTTCGCAAGAGCCCCACGCCGTCAGCACCCCTGTCCCTGACAGAGCCGACTGCGCAGCCTGGGGAAGCCCACCCTGCCCCACTCGGGGTGGTTGAGGTAAGAGAGGGCCCGGACCTGGGTCTGGCACCTGCCAAGGGGCAAGAAGCACCGGACTCCTTGGCTCTGCAGGCTGGCTGCCAGCTCTTGGGGGGTCACGGCTATCGGCTGCCCCGTCCTTCCTTCCAGCAGCAGTACCAGAACGGCGAGTCCGAGGAGAACCACGAGCAGTTCCTGAAGGCGCTGCAGAACGCGGTCACCACCTTCGTCAACCGCATGAAGAGCAACCACATGCGAGGCCGCAGCATCACCAATGACTCTGCCGTGCTGTCCCTGTTCCAGTCCATCAACAACATGCACCCGCAGCTGCTGGAGCTGCTCAACCAGCTGGACGAGCGCAGGCGTGCGTGGGAGCTGGGGGAGCTGCTGGCCCTGGGCGTGGGCGGGCACCTGCCGGGGCTTCCCCGGTGCCAGCGTTTGGCATTCCTGTGACGCAGCCTCTCCAGAGACTAGTGAGGAGTGCAGGGGTGTTCCGATGCTCTGTCCCCATGTCCCTGAGGCTGTCCCTTCTCTCCCCAGTGTACTACGAAGGCCTGCAGGACAAACTGGCCCAGATCCGGGATGCGCGCGGGGCTCTGAACGCCCTGCGGGAGGAGCACCAGGAGAAGCTGCGCCGCGCAGCAGAGGAGGCAGAGCGGCAGCGCCAGATCCAGCTGGCCCAGAAGCTGGAGATCATGAGGCAGAAGAAGCAGGTGAGGCAGAGAAGCGTGTCCAGGGTATTCCAGGCCTGCCTGTGCCATGGATCAGCCCAGGGCTGACAGGGACAGCTGTCCTAGTGGGAGGGGGTCTGTAGGGTCCTGGCTCCGAGCCGTCACAGTCCTGTGTCCGCAGGAGTACCTGGAGATGCAGCGTCAGTTGGCCATCCAGCGACTGCAGGAGCAGGAAAAGGAGAGGCAGCTGCGCCTGGAGCAGCAGAAGCAGACCATCCAGATGAGAGCCCAGATGCCAGCCTTCTCATTGCCCTATGCCCAGGTACAGCTGCTGGGCCAGGAACCCTCCTGCCAGGTCCCAGGGCCTGCAGCCTAAGGCTGGCTTTCCTTCTCCCACCAGCTCCAGGCCATGCCAGCAGCCAGCGGGGTGATATACCAGCCCTCTGGGCCCACCAGCTTCCCTGGCACCTTCAGCCCAGCGGGCTCTGTGGAGGGCTCTCCCATGCACAGCGTGTACATGAACCAGGCTGCACAGGGAGGCACAGGGCCGTACACCGCCATGCCCGTCACCGGGACTGGTACGTCGGGCAGCTCATCCCACAGGGGTAGGGGTGAGCCAAGGTGGTTGCTCTAACCTCTGCCCTCTCTGCCCAGATCCCAGCATGGTGAATGCCTACATGTACCAGCCGGGGGCCGGCAGCGGGCAGGGGGCTCAGCAGGGGACAGCAGTGCCCACCACCACCCCAGCATACTCGTCCTACCAGCCCACGCCCACACAGGGCTACCAGGCAAGTGAGGCAGCACAGCCTGTGGCTGTGAGGTGAGGGCTGGGGGCCTGGGGCAATGTACCCCACCTCATCAACGGGATCTCTGAGCAGGGGGGAGGATGGGCTGGTTGGTCCCAGACCTCCAGATCTGCTGCTCTCCCTGTGGGAGTGGGCTGGGGTCGGAGCCAGTTCCAGGCTCTGGGGTCTTGGCTGGAGCTGTGAGCCATCGCTGCCTGCGCCGCCTCTCACCAGGCTCTCCCCACAGAGCGCGGCCTCGCAGTCCCAGAGCATCCCGGCCATCTCCCAGGCCCCCCAGTCAGGGGCCATGAGCTACATGGGCAGCCAGTCCGTCTCCATGGGCTACCAGCCCTATGGCATGCAGGTGAGCGTTCCCCACTTGGGCACGGGGGGATGAGGTGTGGGTGGGCTCCAGCCTGTGGAGTCGTCCTGGAGGAGGCCTGGCAGAGTCTGGGGTCTGTCACCACCGCCCCACGGGCGCTGCGAGTCCCCCGGCCCCTCTGACACCCACCCCCTCGCTCCCACAGGGTCTCATGTCTGCCCTCCCGGGCCAGGATGCAGCTCTGAGCAGCCTTCCAGCCCAGCAGTCCTACATGCCTGGGCAACAGCCCCTCTACCAACAGGTAAGTGCCACCAGCCCAGGGGTTCAGGGCCCCAGGGGGGCCAGGACCCAGTGGGGCACGTGTGCTGATGAAACCACTTTGTCTGTTCCAGGTGGCCCCAGCCGGGGGGCCCCCCCAGCAGCAGCCTCCACCGGCACCAGCCCCCGGGCAGCAGCCCCCGGGCAGCGGAGAGGCCCAGCTCATCTCATTTGACTGATCGAGGCCACAGGGCATGGGGGACCCTGGGGGTCCTGTGTAACACTACTCTTCATCCAGAATTACTCTGTACTTCGACTGCTCCTCCTGTCCCCTGGCCCCATGTCCGGGGGCGGTGGTGCCACAGGCTCCCATCGCAGGCTCTGGGGACCAAGCGGCAGGGGCACAGCCCCCTGCCCCCGACTGCCCGGGGCTGCTGCCCCCGGCCCCCCCCCCCCCCCCCCCCCACTCCTCCCTGCCAGCCGGCGGCCACCGGGGCCGGGCAGGAGCTCGCCCGGTCCCTGCCGTTGCCCCGGGGCTCGTGGCCGCGGGCCCCGAAGGAGCAGCGCTTTAGCCCTGCCCGGTCCCCGGCGCCAGCTTGGCCCTGTCCCCGCTGAGTCCCGCTCCCCGCAGCGCCCTCCCGGGGCCCATCGCCGGGCCGGGCCCGTCCCGTCCCCGCCCCTCGCGGGGGAGACCGAGCGCGAACGGCGACAATAAAGCGTTGGAACGAGCTGCGGCCTCGTGTGCTGGGGTCGGGGGGGCGACGCTGCCGGGCTTTGCCTACACCTCCCAGGGCACATCGCTTCGCTTCGCTCCGCCCGTCCCGGTGCCGAGCGCCGCCCAGCCCGTCCGGCGCGGGGCCCGCCGGGAGAGCTCGGTGTCCTCGGGGCCGCCATGCTGCCCGCGGTGCTGCCCGCGGTGCTCCCCGCCGCCCGACGGGCGCTGCTGCCGCCGCGCCTGCCGCGAACCGCGCACCGAGCCCCGCACGGCACCGGCCCCGGCCCCGCCGGGCTGCGGGCGCTCGGCACCGGCCCCGCGCGGCGCTCGGAGGCGCTGGCCGGGGCGCCGCTGGACACGGCCGCCAAGGAGTACTCGCCCAAGGTGCGGCAGCTGGTGCGGGACATCGCGGGGCTCACGCTGCTGGAGGTGGCCGATCTCAACGCGCTGCTCAAGGTGGGTTGCGGGGGAGGCCCGGCCCGGCCCGGCCCCGGCCGCGTGCGCCGCCTGACCGGCCGCCGGTGCCGCCGCTCTTCCCGCAGGAGACGCTGAAGATCCCGGACGTGGGGGTGATGCCCGCGGCCGCCGCTGCCTCCGCCGTGCCCGCCCAGGCGGCTCCGCAGGTACCGGGAGGGGCGGGAGTGAGGCCCCGGGGGCCCCGAGCGCGGGGGGCGGGCGGGGCCGGTGGGTTTGGCCGCGGGGCTTCACGGCGTTCCTGCTGCTTCCAGGAGGAGGAGGAGGTCCCGCTCAAGAAAGAGAAAACACATTTCACCGTCCGGCTGACGGAGCTGAAACCCGCTGACAAGGTGAAGCTGATCAAGGAGGTGAAGAACTTCGTGCCAGGAGTGAACCTCGTGCAGGTGAGCAGGGGCTGTCCCGGGCTGCCCCCGGCTCTGGCGTGTCGCCCCCAGGCCCACTTGGGTCCAGCAGTCAGCTCTCTGTCCGAAGGGAGCCTGTATTTGCGTGTGCAGGAGCACAGTCTGCCTGTGTGAGCCTCAGTGCAGAGGCACGGGCAAAGTGGGGAGCAAGATTTGGTTGTGTCTTTGGCATTTTCCCCTGGCAGAAGTGGGAGGATGAAGGAGGAGACCCAGAGCAAAGACCTCAGAGTCCTTCGTGCCAATCTCAGCTTCTCCAAACCTGAGAGCTGCTGTGAGCTTTCCTGCAGAGCTCAGGAGTCCCTCAGTACAGCTCGGTTTGGCTTGCCTTTCCCAAAACCAATGTATTTCTGAATTTGGACGAGTTTTTCTAACTCACACATCTTTCAATCCAGGCTTCCAAGTCTTTTCAGGGCTCTTCTTTTTGTAGGTGATGCTTCTTCCTCTTTCCTGGGAGGAGACCGGGCCTCTTACAGCCCTGGGCAGCATCTGAACTCATGCCCTTGAGCCGGGGTGTGGGCTCAGCAGCTTGGGTGATGAAGCTGCTACTGGCAAAGTATTTAACGCGCTGCAGTTCTCCACTGGGTGATGCTGCCATATCTTGGAGTTAATAGTAGCACTTTCCATTTATCCAACTGCAGCGTTGAGTATTGCAGAGTCTGCTCTTATCGTGTTCTGGAACAGCAGAAAGGTTTGCAGGTAATCTTCTGACCTGTTCCTGTTGCAAAGCCAGCAGAGAAACTCAGTGGCACACGTGCAAGTTTGGCTGCCCCAGAGGGATAATTACCTGACTGTCAGCCTGGTTCCTCTGCAAATTGTTCATCCATTATTGGTCCGAAGCAAGCATGAAAATAGCAAACCCTGTAATGGATGCAATCAGCAGATAATTAACTGGAGGGCTGATGCTAAATGAGGTCGGGTTAGCACGTGGCACCTGTCGGACGAGCTGTTTGTAGGTACCGGCTGTTGTGGGCAAACTCCAGTGTGATGTGCCTGACCTGGCCCTTTGGTTAAAACACACACACAAAACAATTGGCTGCTGACAGGGTTCTGCCTGCAGAAGTTGTGTTCGAAGTAGAGTTGATGCACTTTTGTTGTAAATTTTATGGCCATCCCGTTGAGGTGTTTTAATGAGGTTTGCAGGGGTTCTCTTTGTGGCCTGATGGTTTGGAGGAGAGCGTGGCTAGTGAGGACTTTGAGTGCTGGTGGGACCCAAACAGGTCAGTCCTGCGGCAACAACTGCGTGATGAGGCAGGTGTGTGGTCAGCACACACCGGACCGAGGCCATCCTCGGTTCAGGAAGCTCATTGAGAGCCTCCCAGCAGACACTGGCCCTGTGTCACTGCCAGTCCCGGGTCTGACTGGGTTGGGAATGTGCTGCCTCTGCCCCGTGACTGCTGCTGTGTGGATCCCTTTGGCTTGGGCCCTGCTCTTCCTCCCGCCAGGCGCCAGGAACAGCTGCTTCCCTTCACCAGGGCTGCTTTAGAATGGAGTCACGCCTTGGTGAGCAGGGTTCTGAAATGAATAACCTGGGTTGTGTTGCCTGTTCTCATCGCAGCGAGCTGGAACAGGCTCCTGTCTGAACCCTGTCCTGGTGGGTGAAGGCATTCCTGCCCTGCCGAGCACTGGCTGTGCCTGCTCACCCCAGAAAAAAAAACCATTTTCTGCCACCACAGATGTGTTGTCACTGTGCCCAGCAGGAATCAAAAGCACAAAACCTTTTTGCCAGCAGCAGCCAGTCCGGTGGGTACTAAAGCCACACCAAACCACAGCAGAGAGCTGTGGCTTCTCACCTGGGAACCAGCTGGGGTCTGTTTCAAGGAGCCAAATAGCTTCACTGGTGTTGGGTGTAAGAGCAGGAGGGTCTGACCACAGCAGGGGCTTGTCCCCCCAGGCTCCCTTCCCTCTCTACAGCAGCACTGTTGTAAGTTCCTTAAATCAGCTCAGCAGCTTTTCAGCTTGCCTTAAGTATTGCAGTGCTGCTTAGTACCAGTAGTTTTGCTTAGAAAGTCCCTAAAATGTCAAAATAATGTGTTCTGAGTATAGTCTGTGCTGGAGCTCTGTTTTACCCGGTGTAGCTGTGTCCAAACCCTGCACCGGCCTCCCCTCCTGCTGGCACAAGTATGTGAACCAAAACACAGACACTGAGCAGGGCCCAGTGCCAGGCAGCCACTGCCTTGGTAGGTCACTGCACGGGCCTCTGCCTGCACCCACTCCTGCACAGGCCAGAGGTGCACATCTGGGAGCACCACGCACATGCTGGGAGGAATTTAAGAGCAGCGAATCACTGGAAAAGGTTTCCCAGTGGATTTGCTGCCGCTCACGGTCAGGTTTAGCCACCTTCTGATGGGATGTGCCATATTCAAGTGAAAGTCTTGGGGTTTGTACTGGTCGGTGAGTTTCCCTGGTCATCTTAAGCAGAGGTCGGGCTCATGGCTCTAAATCCGATAATCTGGTTAGTGAAAGGCACTTCATGAGCCTCGTACTTTGTCCCTCCCACAGGCAAAGAAGCTGGTGGAGTCCCTTCCGCAGGAGATCAAGGCAAACGCCTCCAAGGAGGAAGCAGAGAAGATCAAAGCGGCGCTGGAGGCAGCAGGAGGGACTGTTGTTCTGGAGTAGTCTCACCCCACAGGGACTGGCACAGCGGCTGCTGCCCGAGCCGCGCCCGGACCTTTCCAAGCGCTCGGCGCGGTGGGAGTGCTCTCCCAAAAAACACTGTGGTTTGGCAGAGCTGCTGCCTCCTTCCACTATCACCATGAACTCTACCTTATAAATATAAAAAAAAACATGTGAAATGGTTCATCTCTCCCAGATCAGCTCTGATTACCCCCATGCTCCATGTGCACACTGGTAATGTCGACGTTTCGTAGAATCATGGAATGGTTTGAGTTGGAAGCGATCTTAAAGATCATCTCGTCCCAACCCCTGAGCTGGGACACCTTCCACCAGCCCAGGTTGCTCCAATCCCCATCCAACCAGGCTTGGACACTTCCAGGGATGGGGCAGCCACAGTTTCTCTGGGCAGCCTGTGCCAGGGCCTTACCACCCTCACAGGGGAGAATTTCTTCCTATTATCTGACCTAAATCTACTCTCTCAGTGTGAAGGTGTTCCCTCTTGTCCTGTCAAGGCTCTCCTAAATAGTCTCTCTCCGTCTTTCTTGTAGGCTCCCTTCAGGTACTGAAGTTTGTGCCAGCACATCACCCCCCTCCTCATGGCATCGCCCCCTCTTAACGCTGCCTTTTGCTGCTGGTCTCACCGCCCCGTTAGTTGTTAACGGGAAGAACCCACTTCCATAGGCTGTGGAGATGTGGGCAGGGCGGGAATGAGTACTCTGGAGATGCTGATTATCCCCGCACTCTACACGTGTGCACTGGTAACACTGCTGTTTGTACCCGCGCATCCCCTGCCTCCTCACGCCGCTTTTCTGCAGATGCCTTCACCTCCCCGTTAGTAAATCCCCGTTAATTATTAACGGGAAGAAGCCGCTCCCGCGGGCCGTGGAGGTGCGTGCGGCAGGGGAAAGGATGGTTCTGGAGCCCGGGGTTGCCGCGGCAGCCCCCGTCCCGGGGTTGCCGGGGGGGATCCGCGCCGCTCCCGGGCCGGGGGATGCGCCGGCCGGGCCCCCCCCCGCCGGTACCGGGAGGAGGCGTGGCTTAACGGAAGGGGGCGTGTCTTAACGGCAGGGGGCGGGGTCTGTGGCAGAAGCGGCTCCCATGGCGGAGCAGCGCGTTTCGCGCTGGTACTTCGGCGGCCTGGCGTCCTCCGGGGCCGCCTGCTGCACCCACCCCTTGGACCTGCTGAAGGTGAGGGGGGGACACGCCGGGGGGGGCGGCTCTGACCGCGTGTGGGGGGCGGTTTCGGGGGACGGGGAGCGGGTTTGGGGAGCGCGGAGCGGCTGTGAATGGCTGCGGTGTGTGGGGGGTGCCGTGAGGGGATGGGGAGGCGGTTGGTGCGGCCGGGAGGGGTTGGGGGACGGTTATGGGGGCTGGTGCCGGTTCTGAGGGTCCCGGAGCGGCCGGGAGGGGTTGGGGAAGGGGTTAGGGTGAGTTGGGAGCGGCTGTGGGGGTCCCGGAGAGGTGGCGGTGGGACGGGGAGCGGGTCTGAGGGTCCCGGAGCGGCTCTGAGGGACTGGGCTGCGGGACGGGGGGCGGCTGGGAGGGGACGGAGAGCGGGTCTGGGGGCTCCAGGGCGGCTGTGAGGGGACGGAGAGCGGGTCTGGGGGCTCCAGGGCGGCTGTGAGGGGTCAGGGGGTGGCTCTGGGCGGCTGGAAGTGGCTGTGAGGGTCCATGAGAGGTTGCGAGGGGATGGGGAGCCGTTCTGGGGATCTGCGGAGCGAGTCTGGGGGTCCCGGAGTGGGTGAGGGACCAGGGGACGGCTACCAGGGGAGGGGAGGTGGCTCTGAGTGGACTGAGTGGCTGTGAAGGTCCTGGAGAGGCTGTGAGGGGACGGGGAGCAGGTCCGAGGGTCCTGGAGGGACCTGGCTGCGGGGAAGGGGGACGGGAGTGAGGGTCCCAGAGTGACTGCGGGGCCGGAGAACTCTGCAGAGCACCAGGGAACAGCTGCGGGGGGCTGGTTCTGAGGGGCTGATTTCCGATTTGAGGCTGTGCAGGTACATGGCCCTTGGCTCAGGGAAGAGGGAGCCAGCGCTGGGGCCCGGGGTCACAGCTGAGGGGTCCCCAGCCAGGGGAAGGGGTGGATGTGCGGGGCTGAGGGGTCTGGGGAACTCGGGGTGTCTGCCCCGGGGGCTGTGGAGGACGCCTTGGCCTCCCCTGCCCGGGCACGGCAGTGACTCCAGGGCTGGCGGTGTTGGACGCTGTCCCACTGGGCTCTGGGCCCTCCGGCCAAGATGTCACCTAGGCGCCGCGGATGACCTGGCATCCCCAGTGCCGCACAAAGGGCGCCGCGCGCAGCCCTGCGCTGCCAGCACCCACGGACGGGGCGAGTGCCAGCGCTGCCTCGAGCCTTGTGTGCCAGCCAAGCGGCGATGAGCCTGGCAGCCGGGCAGGCTGCGGAGGGGGAGCGGGAGAGCCAGCCCAGGCAGGGCCTGTCCTGCCCAGGGCTGTGCCCGTGGGTGAGGCTGGGACAGACAGCCCCTTCCCACCCCATGGCACGGAGGGAGGGGAAGATGTACCGGGCACAGGCACAGGAGAGCAGTCGGCCCTGGCAAGGGAGTGCTGCCTCCCCAGTGTTCAGCCTGTTGCTGTGCCCTGTCTGCCCAGCGGAGGTGGCTGCCAGCCCGTGGGAGCTCGTGTGGGATGCCCTGGCGAGGCGCTAAGAACAGGAATTTGTCTGACACATGCCTCTTAGTCTGTCTCTGAGCCAGCATGACGGGTGTGACATTTGGGCCATGTCCCCTTGCTGTCCCCTGCAGATGTGCAGCCCCTGAGCGCACAGGGCTGGGAGCAGTCCAGCCCACTGCTAGGTTTTGCCAGAGGGTCCACATCTGAATATTGATCATGGACCTACCTTTGGCCAAGAGCTCCCCAGCAGGGGCTGGCACCAGGCCTGGTGAGGAACAGGAGGCCTCAGGATCCAGCAGGGCAGGGTACGAAGGGCACTTCACTGCCCCTCTGGACCTTAGCCCCAGCCAGCCAGCCTGGACAGTGCTTGTGCCCTTAGGCCGGCTCTCTGCAGCCACCAGCCACCCACGGGTTGCTGGCTGTGTGACAGTGACCACGGCCTGGCCAGTCCCTCCCCTGCCCGCCTGCCTGCCCTTCCTGCAGCCCTGGGACCGCAGGCAGCGGAGCGTGTCCCGGCATGGCCCTGCCTGACCTGCCTGCTCGTTTCCTCTGCCCCAGGCTGCCTGCAGCCGGCTGCCCAACGTTGGTCCCTGACACACGCTCTGGTTCCTGACATCCAAAATCCACCTGCCAGCGTTGAAGGCAGGCCCCTGCACCCCTGCTGATGCCCCGCGTGGGAGACAGCGGCCGTTCCCAGCGTCCTGTGGTGTGTCCCACGGCCCAGCTGTGCCGGGGCTTCTGTAGCAGGAGCCAGGCCTGGTCCCCTGACAGCAGCCCTTTGCTCTCCTTATCTCCTGGGGCCTTTGACCTCCACGTGGTCTTTGCAGCACTCAGAGCATGCTCCGGCACCAGCTGACACAGCTCCCGTGCTCCTGGCCAGCCCCCCATGACTCCTGCTGCCAGGCGTTGCCCCTGGTGATGGTGGGAAGTGTTGGGCTGCTGCAGGAGGGAAGGAGAGCCTCTGGCTGGCTGTGGGTTCTCTTCCTGCCTCTGCGATTCCTGCACTGGGGAGGAGGGGAAGTGGCTCCGGAGGCCTGCCCTGCCCTGCCCTGCCCTGCGTGGCCATGACTTCACTGACCCGACTGCGTCCCTCTGAGCAAACCCACACTGGGCACTCACTCACTCAGGTGCTGCTGGACCACCCCACCCTGAGGTGGGCCAGGGTCCTTCTGGGAGAAGCAGGTGCCACCCCTCACCTTGGAGCTTAATGTTGAGGGCAGGGCCTGGGAAGGGCTGTGGGCTGAGTGCCTGGGCACTCCCCTTCCGTCGCTGCCTCCAACCCTCTGGTGTTGGGCTGGGCCAGTCTCCAAGTCCTTTCCAGGTGTGGGGAGCCTGGAGCTGTTGCTGTTGGCTCCTGGGCGATGCTGACGCGTTAGCCTGACATGTGCTCACGTTCATACCCACTCTGGTGCCTGGTGCACTCCCGTCCCTGCCCGGCCCAGCGCTGAGCTGACACTGCTGTGTTCTGCCCCAGGTCCACCTGCAGACCCAGCAGGAGGTGAAGATGCGGATGATGGGGATGGCGATGCACGTGATCCGCACCGACGGCTTCTTTGCTCTCTACAACGGGCTCAGTGCCTCTCTGTGCCGGCAGGTGAGTGCCACCGTGCCCTGCTGGCCCCCGAGGCCAGCGCAGAGCCTCTGCCATGCTGCAGAGCCCCTGCCATGCTGCAGAGCCCCGGGAGCTGACGGGCTGCCCTGCGCCAGGGGCACAGCCGCTCATTTCCCTCTCCTCCAGATGACATATTCCTTGACTCGCTTTGGCATTTATGAGACCGCAAAGAAACACCTGGGCCAGGGCAGCCAGGGGCCTCCCCCCTTCTACCAGAAAGTGCTGATGGCTGCAGCAGGAGGTGAGCCAGGCAATGGGGGCCTTCAGCCCCAGCTCCCTCAGGCTGGACACTCCCCTGACCCAGCTCTTCTTTTGCCACAGGTTTCACTGGTGGGTTCGTGGGGACCCCGGCTGATATGGTGAACGTCAGGTCAGTTCTGTCTGTATGACAGGGGTTGTGGCCGGTGCACAGCAGCAGTTGGGATGGTGGGAAGTGCTGGGTGCTCCCGTCATCTCTCCTGGCGAGCCTGCCCCAGGAACAATGGCCCAGGAGCTCTGTGCTCAGGATGACCGGAGCTGTTCTGTTGGGTGACAGCCCCTTGGGGGGAGTGGGGCTGGAGGCAGCGTTCTTGTCCGTTTGCAAACGGGCAACTCAGTCCCACTGCCCCGGGCAGGGGTCCCTGGTGCTGGGGGGGACAGTCGGCCCCCGGCCCCCCTCACCTGCGGTGCTCTGCCTTCCAGGATGCAGAACGACGTGAAGCAGCCGCCGGCCCAGCGGCGCAAGTGAGTGGGGGGCTGAGGCGGGGAGGGGTGTGAGGGCTGGGGCAGCAGGGAGGTGGTCGGAAGGGACCGGCGCTCCCGGGGCCGGGGGTGCGCGTGGCCGCGGGGTGGCAGCACCGCACCGGCGGCACCGGCACCGGCACCGGGGGTGGCGGGGGCTGGGCCGGGGCCGCCGCTCCGGGAGCCTCCGGTGCCCGCGGAGAGCGGCGGGGCTGCCGCCGTGCCGGGGAGCCTCGGCTCCTGACCCCTTCCCCTCTCGCTCCTTCCAGCTATTCCCATGCCCTGGACGGCATGTACCGTGTCCTCCGGGAAGGTGAGGCCGTGCCAGCCGGGTGGGTGGGCCCGTTCCGGTGTCCTCACAGGCCCTAGGGAGCCGGGGCAAGGCTGAGCGGGGGAGTTCGCTCAGCCAGGGCAGGGAAAGGGGCTGGGGGATGCCCTTGGGGCTGGGGAGCCCAGGGGCATGCAGGGCCTGGCACCACCACACTGTCTGGCTGGGGCAGGGCCTGGGCCGGGTCTGGCAGGGCCTGGCAGCCTGCCCGTACTCGGTGGGAAAGGGAAACCTGCCAGGAGGTGTGATGGAAAAGCGCAGGAGGGTGGAGCAGGTGGGACAGGGGATGAGCAGAGGCAGGGAGGAGGTTGGGCCATTTTGAAGGACTCCCCTATCCTGCGTCCTGTTTGCTGTGGTGTGTTTTAAGGAGGGCTGTGCAAGGAGTTTGGGACATAGCCTGGGCAGGGAAGAAGGCTCCAGGTGGAATGGGGTGTGAGTGATGGCCCAGGACTATGCTGATCCCCATCTGTCTGTCCACAGAGGGCGTGAAGAAACTCTTTTCAGGAGCTACTGTGGCATCCTTCCGCGGGGCCCTCGTCACCATTGGGCAGGTAGGACAGCTCTTCTGGGCAGTAGGTGCCTGGTGTAGGGACTGGGGTGGTCCCTAGTGTGGTGAGGAAGGGGAACATGTCACTGATTCACAGTGTCTTTGCAGCTCTCCTGTTATGACCAGGCCAAACAGCTGGTTCTCGCCACTGGGTTGCTGTCAGACAACATTGTCACTCATTTCCTGTCCAGCTTCATTGCCGTGAGCAGAGCTGGGGCTGGGGGGGCAGGGCCGGGGCTTGGTTTGCTTGCAGCGAGGCTCGGGGTGCCAGGCTGGGGCTGCCAGAGCCACCACTCTGGGCTTGGACTGAGCAGGGCTGGGCACAGTGGCTCTGGGAGGCTCCTGGCCTGGTGTTGGGCCCAGACATGGCTCTGGGTCTCTCCAATGACTGCAGCAGTCGGTGGCACCGGGGTCTCCTGATTCCCCGATGACTCTCTGCAGGGCGGGTGTGCCACATTCCTGTGCCAGCCCCTGGATGTGCTCAAGACCCGCCTTATGAACTCCCACGGCGAGTACAATGTGAGTCACCCACCCTGCCCACCTCACTGCTGCCCATCCTACCCTCTCTACACACCTCATCTCTCACCCTCTCACCCCAGGGTGTTGTTCACTGTGCCATGGAAACTGCCAAGCTCGGACCCCTCGCCTTCTACAAGGTATGTAGCCAGGGATGTGTGGGGTGGGGCAGGCTGGGCCGGGCTGGGAGTAGAGGTTGCCATCCAGAAGAGTCCTGGGACAAGGGCCTTCCAGGCTCTGCTGTGGTGGCTTGGCTGCTTCCTGCATCAGGCCTTCATCCACCTGGCCCAGGCTTGGCCCCAGGGTAACACGAGCCCTGGCCTCGCCAGGACTGAGCCTGGGCTCAGGCACTGCAGCCATGGCCCTGTTGCACCCATCAGGCTCCCAAATGGAGGGCAGGTGCCAGCACCCATGTGTAGAGCAGAGGGGTTGGCATGTGATGCTGAGACCTGTGTGCCCTGCAGCCCATGTTGCCCACCCCGCACTGCCCCATGCCTGCCCACTCGTGCCGCTGCTGGGAGCACCAGGGCCGGGCACACACTTGACTCTCCCCTTTCTTGCTATCCCCTTCCAGGGCTTTGTTCCTGCTGCTGTCCGGCTCGTTCCTCAGACTATTCTCACCTTTCTCTTCCTGGAGCAGCTGCGCAAATATTTTGGGATCAAAGTGACCACCTGAGTTAGAGGGATGGGACCCTGCCTCACCCCAGGGGGATGAGCGTGTGGGTCACCCCCAAGATCCCAGAGCCTCTCTCTGCTCTCTGGGGCCAGCACCATTGTCCCTCCTTTTGGCCCCATTCCTGTGCCTTGCCAGCACCTGTGGCCAACCCCTCAGACTCCCCTCTCCTCTCACCCCCATTCTCAGTATCTCCATTACCTCTGCACTACTGGTTTTGGGTTTCTTGCGGGGGTTTTTTGCTGTCTTCCTATTGCCCTACTTCTGGCCTTGAGTTCTGTCCTTGCCCCCTTCAGCCCTGTCCCTCACGTGCACCGGGAACAGGACTGTGCTATCCCAGGGAGGAGTGGGATTGGCTGCCTGGCTCTGTACCTCGTCGCAGGACACAGGGGGCTGAGGGGGCTGGTGCCCCTGCGGCTGTGGGGCTTGGGCTCAGGGCAGTGGGGTGAGGCCCTGTCCTCCCTCAGTGCCTCTGGCCCCCGTGCTCCCCACCAACGCCAGCTCAGCCTGGACCCCCTGCCCTGCTCCTGGCCTCCCACACCCTGCTTCTGCTTGGCCAAAACTCCCCAGCGCTGCCAGCCGCTGGGCTCTTCAGGGATTGTGCCTCATACCAATGAGGGCGGGGAATGCCCCCAGCCAGCCCCGGCTCTGGCAGGGCCCAGCAACGCCTGCTCCAGGACCCAGTGCTCGCTCACCCACAGCGTGCCCTCGTCAGACCCAGCCTCTGTGGGGGCATCCCCCCCAATGCTGCTCTGCAGCCTCACTTGCCCCAGGGCTGAGCAGCCCCCTGCCCCTCACAGCCCCCTGGCCCTGCACCGCCCTGTGTGCAGGGGCTGCAGGCACCAGCCCCTCCGCCGTGTGCACCTCCGTGTGTGCTGGCCCTGAGGGATCAAAGAACTGGAATATCCGTGACCTTAATGTGTAATAAAGGTGAACGTGGACAGGGCCTGCTGTCCTGCTTTTGACGGGGGCGATGCTGCACCCCCTTCCTGCTGCCAAGGGCTTGGGCTGCGAGCTGAGCCTCCCAGAGTGGAGGGAGAGGAGCAAGGCGTGGCCCCTGGCACCGTGCCAAGCAGGATATCTTCGCCTGGACCTGTGCAAGGGGAGCTGGGGGCAGGCTCTCTGGCCAGTCCTGTGCCGAGCTGTGCCCGGTCTCAGCTGTGCTCTGAGACGGGGCCATGCCAAGGGCGCCCGTCACCTCCGCCGGAGCTGCCTCCTGGATGTGACACTAATTGGGCTCTGGCGGATGGAACAGAGGCAGCCTGGCACAGCAGAGCAGTGAAAGCTCGTCACCTTAACGAGGCTTAATGATGCTGGCTGGCATTGCCACTCTGGGCCTGTGCCCAGTCCCGGCAGAGGCCGTGGGCAGGTGAGCGCAGGGGGAGCTGGGCGCTCTCCTAGTGAGGGGCTGGGGGCTGCCCGGACAGGCCGTGGTGCCTCATACCCCGGCCAGCCCAGCACTGCTCCCACAGCTGACGGGCACTGCCCTGTGCCACACAAGGGGCCAACGTGGAGTAGGGGAGCAGTAGAGCCCCCACGGTCCCCCAGCAGCACAGAGCCCTTCTCAGGCCCCTGCCAGCCGGGGCCGGGGATGTTCCAGCTGGGCTGTGGTCCCACCAGCTGCGCCCGCCCCGTGCTCCCAGCACGCGCGTACCCTGTCCCCACGTTACTCATGGCAGCCAAGCTGTGCTGCAGCCACACTGGCAGGACAGTGTGTGCCAGACACAGCCCGAAGCACGGTGCCCACAGCTGCAGCGCTGGCACTGCTTATCTCTGAGCATCAGAGAGCGGAGGGCTGGCAGCAGCCTGTGGCCGTCGTGTCCGCACTGACCACCCCCTGGTCCCACCCTGCCCTGTGCCAGGGCCCCAGCAGCTGCCTGCAGGGCTTCCCCCAGGGCACTTCTCTGCCCTGACCCCGGGCAGAGATGGGTTTTGCCGGTCCTCCCACCACAGTCCCCTCCTGGCCCGGATGAGTGGCAGGGCCACCTCCAGGGAGGCATTTATGGGTCTGACCCCCTGGCACTGTCAAAGCACCTGCAGGATCCAGCATGGGCTCGGGCTGCTCTGCCCACACCAACGGGGGCTTCCAGCCAGTGGAAGCCTCACAGAGCGGGACCCAGGCAGAGGCAGCTCTGGGGACTCCGGGGAGCCGGGGTTGGGCTGGGTGGGCTATGGGGGGACGCACTCCGTGTTCCTGTGCCGGTGTGACCACCGCGTCCTGCATGGCCCAAGGTAAATGTGTTTGTGCCGGGGGGCCGGGGCAGGGTAGGCCGCTGGCACCCCTGGGCCGGGGGCTCCCCCGGGCCCCTCTCCAGACACAGCCAGGAGGTCCCGGGGCGTTGCTCTGTCTGGGCTCTGTTTACCTGCAGCGGGACAGCGGCGGCAAACACCGACCCGTCACCGCCGGCGCCGGCCGGAGCGCGGGTGTTGAGGTGGCTCCAGGCGGCACGGTCGAGATCCGTCCAGGTCCCCGAGGGGCCGAGCAGCCCGCGCTCCCGCGCCGGGGCCACCAGCAGGACCGGGGACGCGCTGGGACTGGGGAAACGTCCCGAGGGACGAATCCCCGGCCCGCTCCCCCAGGGTCGGAACGGTCCAGCTGCCCCCCTCGCTCCGCCCGTATCCGCCGAGCCCAGCCGGTGCCCGGGAGCGGGGCTGGGCGCGGGACCGGCGGCGGAGACAAGCGGTGGCTCCCCCGCAGCTCCCGGGAGCGGCCGTCGGTGATGCGGGGGCACCGGGCTGCGCCCCCCTTGTGCCAGCAGGAGGAGCGGGGCGGCGGGACGCGACTCCGCGCCCCCGGTCCCTCCCCCCGCCCCGGTCCCTCCCCCCGAGCCGCCACAGCCGCCGCCGCCGCGGCTCCGGCAAAAGTTTTCGCCGGAGCGGCCGAACGCGCCGGTTTCGGTCCCCGCCGGCTCCGAGATGCGTCCGGGAGCCGCCGCGAGCCCAGCCCCGAGAGGTACGGGGAAGGGGGGAGGAGGGCGGGGAGACCCCATCCCTGCGGGCTCGAGGCTCGGGGTGCCGCACGCCCCGTCGCGTGGATGTGGACTCGGGTGACGGCGGCGCATCCCCGGGGCCACGAATTGAGCCTCGGGAGACCAGAGCAGCAGCTCCCAGCGCCGCCCCGGTGGTAGGCACCGGCCCCGGGGGTGATGAGTCCCTCGGTGAGGGGTGTCCTGGGCCGGGGGTCGCAGCGGGGCTGGGCTCGCTCCCCGCCCGAGCCGCTGCCGCTGCCGTCCCTGTGCAGAGGCGCTGCTGTCGGGCTCACGGCACCCCTGGGCGCTGCCCTGGCCGTGGTGAGCCCCCGGGCAATCACACCAGCCAGGCTCCGACGCGCTGGGAGTACCTCCCAGAGCAGCCCCTCGCCGGGGTGGGACCCGCGGGGTCTCACCGCCGTGGGCACAACAGTGCCCGTGGGTCTCTCGTCGAGGGGCAGAAGCAGGAGACACTTTTGACCCTTCCCAGCTCTCCGGGGCTTGCAGGAGCCCGGTGTGAGTGCCCTTTGTGACTCTGTCCCGAGCTCTGCTGTGTCAACACGGTGTTGGTAAATGGCTTTGTTTAACCAGGACATGTCGGGTATGTGACCTTGCCGTCCTCCTGGTTGCAAGTGCATCTCCAAAGCTGCTGCAGGTCCCGTCTGCCCGGCGCTGCACTCCCCTCGGGGCGATGAGGGGAGCAGAGACCGCCGGGCTCAGCCTGGCTCCCCTCACGCCGGACAGGCAGAGGACGGAGCATCCGCTCTGCCCAGCCCTCGCTGCGCACCCCGCAGCGCCCCATGCAGCGCCTGCCCCGTGTGTCCTGACCCACGCCAAATTCAGTGGTTGCTCCTATGATTTTGTCTGTGCATCAGCAGGAAAATTTAGGGCCCGCAGGACCCCTCCTCGGCGCGTTAGTGCCGCCCCGGCTGCCAGCTCCTGCGCTTCCCACCAATCCCGCTTCTTTCCGCACACTGCGGTGCGGATTTTTTTTATGTTCTGTTGCCTGGAGAGGGGAGAAGAGAAAAGGCTGAACAGAGAATAGGCAAAATGTGGATTAAAAATAGTTAATGAAAAAATGTGACCGCAAGCCTTGATCCACAGCACAGGGCTGAGACCAACCACCGAGCGCAGCCTCCCCGTGCACCTCGCTGTGCCAGGCAGGGGCAGGGACAGGGGAAGCCAGACACAGGGGAGATGGGATGGCAACTCAGCTCCATCCTCCTGTGCTCCTCCACTGCATCCTGCTCTGTCCTGCGTCCCCCGTGGCCCCCGGGGCCTGGGGCACGTGGCTGTGCACTGCAGGCATCAGCGGATGGCTGGGCATAGGTGCCCCCTGCCACATCCCTGGCTCACTGGGGCTGGTGGCCAACTGTGCCCAGGGCTGCAGGTGTCTCAGGACAGGAACGGACTCTGCTGGGACCTCTTCACAGACGGTCTGCGATGTCTCTTGTGCATCTGCACCTCAGCAGCACAGGGTTTGAGCTCTCTCTTCAGAGAGGTGCTGGGAGGTTGTCCCGAGGTTCACAGTGGCTACAATGTCCATTCATGCCACGAGCTGGTCTGGGAAGGCGGATGTGGAGCTCCCAGTGCAGAGGAGCGTGTGCATCTCCCTGTCTGCACTGACCTTTTCCCAGGCTTTTCCCAGCCCTGCACCTCCCCTGTGACAGGCTAAGCACACGTGTAACACTGTCTCTCGTGCTTTTCTTTTGTGTTTCATGGGCTTTCGTGCAACGTGATGAACAAAACCACCCCTTTCCCTGAGCCAGGGACAAGCTGCTGTGTGGCTCAGCATCCCCTTGCCAGATCCAGCTGGGCAGCAGGGTCATTTGGCCCCTGCCCTCGTGTGCCGGAAGACCACAGTCCCTCTTTGGTACTGGGCAGCTGTGCAGGTGCCCCTGACCACGCCTGGAGGCAGCTGGGGGGTCGTGGAGGTGATGCAAAAAGCATTTCTCCTGTTTGCATCCTGTACTGCTGTTGACGAAAATACTGTCAGGGCTGGTTTGGGTTTTCTTGGTCCAAGATGACACAGAATCCGACATCGCTGGTGCCTGGTGACGTTGGCTCTCTCTATGTGCCACTGCTCAGGGCTTCCACAAGCACGTAGCTCTGTGCAAACAAGCCATGGTCTTGCAGCACGAGGGCTGCTCCAGGCAGCTCAGCTGCTCCTCTGTGGCCCAAGTTCCTGGTACTCAGTTCTCAGAGAAGGACTGGAGCAGGGGAGTGGGAGACATCCCCCAGCTTGGGGCAGGGACATGGGTAGAGACAGCGCAGGCCAGACCTCCTGGGCCTCCCTGCCCTGGCTGTCTCCCCCCACCCTTGCCCCGCTTGCCATGGTCTTGGGTGGAAAGTGGAGCAGCATCTGCAGGGCCAGGCTGGTGCTGGCATTGCATCAGCTCTGGCCCGGCACTGTCCCCTCCCCTGCCAAGTGCCGAAGCCCCTGCTGTGCTGGCGTGTAGCTCCCAGCTCAAAGCCAAGCCAGCCGTGGAAAGCGCTGCATTAGCGCACGGGGGGCTAATCCCTGTGTCCAGAGGGCAAACAGGCCTCCCCCTGCTGCCTCCGAGCCAGTGCAGGGCTGTGCTCGTGAGGAGCCCGGTGCCCATTCCACTGGGGAGGCAAGAGTCCTGTGGGGGCACCAGGCTTTGGGCACCAGCTTCACAGCGCTTGTGCAGGGCCATGGCTGTGCCAAGGTGCTCTCGGGTCATGTTGCAAATGCCCGTGAGTGTCCCGTGGGGGCTCACTGAACCACTGATCCGTGTGGCAACAGACCACAGCGATCCCAGATGTGGAGCTCATTCCCTCACACGTGCGATGGCAGCAGCGCTGGAGGGGCTGAGGGGCAAAAATCCCAGGGGAAGCTGACCAGGGTGGGATGAGGAGAGAGGCAGACCTGGGCACTTAACTGACTGTGGGGGTCCATGGTGGTACAGAGCTGCTGCAGGGCAGCATGGGGGCTTTGCATCCACCAGTGGGGAAC